AGAGAGAGAGCAAGAGCGAGAGAGACAGAATGTACCTATATTTACCCATATGCAAGTATGCAAGTGCTTTTATACCCATTCGATATATATGGTCTACAGTACCGAATATCTGTATAGAATGAATACTTAAAGAAGAAGAAATTGAAGTTGACCCAGAGTAAAAAAAAAAAAAAAAAAAAAAAAAAAAAAAAAAAAAAAAAAAAAAAAAAAAAAAAAAAAAAAAAAAAAAAAAGTCATCTTTATATACATATATGGATATCAGTCCCTCGACGCGAGTACTTGTAAACGGTACTTAACAGTGTCAATATGTACGCGGGACTAACGCATATCTGAACCCCGCTGTAAAATGCATGCAAGGTCCAACACTGCCCTGTCCTGTGTACGTATATATCATAGGATCTCGTTTTATGTATACTGGGGAAATGTATATGCTGGCGAGGGTAGAATGCAAATGTGAATGGAGATTGATTTAATAATACGGCCGAGGGTAATTGATGGCCGTGCCCCCCCCCCCCCCTTTTTTTTTTTACCGAATAGGAATTATTGAAAAGGAAATAAAAGGGGGAAATATCGGTACTTTTAGAATCTGTATTTTACTAGGGTATGTCGTGTACTAATGTGTAAACGATTGCAAGGGACGTAGGTATAAATAAATGGTTTGGCATGTACGCGCGCGCACGCACGAACGTAGGAGAGAGAGAGAGAGAAGAGAGAGAGAGAGAGAGAGAGAAGAGAGAGAGAGAGAGAGAGAGAGAGAGAGAGAGAGAGCGAGGAGGAGAGAGAGAGAGAGAGACAGAGACAGAGACAGAAGATATAAAGAAAAAAAAAGAAATATATGTAAGTAAAAAAAAAAACTGTTCAACGCCCACTAACGACTCTCCCATCCGCCTCGCCCCCTTCCCCTTCCTCCACTCCTTTCCCCCTCCCCCCCCCCGCCACCTCAGCGTAAAGCAGGCGTGTTGTCGACCTCGGCTCGCGATGGAGAATAGCCCGTCTTGCCTACACCCTCCCCCTCGAGAGAAGGACCTCGGCTGGACGGGGACTCCTGGTGGAACCAATCCCGAGATGTACAAGAAGTTGCTGAAGAAGGGGAGGAAGGCCTTCAGTACGAGAGCGTGCGTGTCTCCCTTCGCCTATCCTTCTAAGGTAAGATGGCCGGTTTCGGAGGGCTCGTGTTTTGGGTTGGTGGTTCGGAAGGTTCTGGCGTGAGGTTCTTGTGTGTTTTTTTTTTTTTTTTTTTTTTTTTTTTTTGGGGGGGGGGGTATTTTCTCTTTGTGGGTTTGTTGGTAATCTGTTTCTGTTTTGCTTTTTTCGTGTTTTTTCTATCTTTTTCCGTTCTTATCATTTCTCTTTCCTCCTCCCCACTCCTCTCTCTCTCTCTCTCTCTTGTCTCCCATTTAAGTGAATATTTCTCTCTCTCTCTCTCTCTCTCTCTCTCTCTCTCTCTCTCTCTCTCTCTCTCTCTCTGCTCATCTCTCTCTCTCTCTCTCCTCTCTCTCTCTCTCTCCTCCCTCTCCTCCCTCCTCCCTTCTCCCTCCCTCCCTCCCTCCCCTCCTCCTCTCCTCCCTCCTTTCCCTCCCTCCCTCCCTCCCGTCTCCTCCTCTCCTCTCTTCTCTCTCTTCCTCTTCTCTTCTCTCTCTCTCTCGTCCTCTCTCTTCTCTCTCTCTCTCTCTCTCTCTCTCACTCTCTCCTCTCTCGCTCTCTGTTCTTCTCTCTGTCTCCTCCCGAGTATCTATCTATCCATTCAAATTCCTTTCACTCTCCGTTCTCCAATAAATGAAAAAGCTTAACTAATCAAACACCTTTTTTGCGTGCTGTTCATACCACGTTCTTGCCCCGTTCCAGATGTCACTGTCGTACCCCAAAGGCAATCCGAACGGGGAACTAGAGGCTATCCAACAGCTGGGGAAGACGAAGCTGCACCAGCTGTGGCAGGAGGAAGTGAGCTCTACATAACATGAGCTATTGTCTGTAAGCATGCACGCATGTTGCACACATGCACGTCGAAGTAACATGAGCTATTTAGTTGTGTTGCATGCACGCATGTCTACATCGCACGCACACATGCACGTACACGGACAGACTCATACACGTACACGCCACGGACTCATGGCGAGTACACGCACGCATGTTGGTCACATGAGCTATTGTCTGTAAGCATGCACGCATGTACACGCACGCACACATGCACGTACACGGACAGACTCATGCACGTACACGCACGGACTCATGCACGCATGTACACGCACGCACACTATGCACGTACAACGACAGACAGACTACACGCATACCACGTACACGCACGGACTCATGCACGTACACGCACGGATTCTTGCACGTACACGCACGCACACATGCACGAACACGGACAGACTCATGCACGTACACGCACGGATTCATGCACGTACACGGACAGACTCATGCAGTACACGGACAGACTCATGCCACGTACACGGACAGAACAGACTACACGGCAGCATGCACGTACACGCACGATTCATGCACGTACACGCACGGACTCATGTACTACACGCATAAGCGTATTGTACATGACTTGATATTGAAAACAGTAATAATTGTTAATGATAATGATAATGCATGATAATAATGAATAATAATAACAGTAATAATAATGATGATATTCATGATAATGATAGTAATAATGACAACGACCATGTTAATAACCATAGTTTAATTAATTATAATAAAAATAACAAAATAATAATGATAATGATGATAATAATGATAATAATGATAGTAATGATACTGTAATAATGATAACCATGATAATGATAATGTTAATAACACAAATAATGCTAATAATAAGGATGATAATAATGATGATAATAGTAATGATAGTGATGATAATGAATAAGTAATAATAGTGATAATGACAGTGATAATAATGATAATAATAGATAATAGAAAATCGTAACTATAATAATAATGATAATAAAAGTAATAACAATAATGATAAAACAACAATAACTATAAAAATAGTAATAATAATAATAGTTATAATAATGATAGTAAAAATAATAAGGATGATGATGATAAACACAATTAGTAATAATAAGGATTAATAGTAATAATAATAATAATAATAATATAATAATAATAATAATAATAATAATAATAATAATGATAAATCGATAATTAATGAATGGATATACACGATAATAATAATGATGATGATAATGATAATAATAATAATGATAAACACAACAACAACAATAATAATAATAATAATGATAATGATAAAACAGCAACTCACTCCCCCCCCCCCTCACCCCCCTCAGGATGGCGACCTGCAGCAGTTCGAGGCGCAGTGCATCCCCCTGGAGAACCTCATCTACGCGGCGGGCATCACCTCTCCGATCGACCTCCTGGTGCTCGACATGTCTGGCACTGACCTCGACGTCCTGCTCAATTCGAAGCTCGAGATGGTGCCTGATATGGAGGTGGGGTTGGGTATTTTTTTTTTTTTTTGTTTGGTTTGGTTGTTTGGGTTGGTTGTTTGTTGGTATGTTTTTTTTGTTTTTTTTTGTTTGATTTTTTTTTGGTATTGTTTGTTTGTTTGTTTTCCTTCGTCATCGAATCGGAATCGGTCGTCGTGTATCGTCATTTGTCATCGTCATCATCATCATCATCATCATCACCTTCACCATCATCGTCGTCGTCATTCTCTTTCCATTTCTCATCACCACCACCATGCATTCATCATTACCATCACCATCACCATCATCCCACCATCCCCCCCCCCCCACCATTATCATCACCACCACCATCATCATCATTACCATCACCATCACCATCATCACCACCACACACCATCACCACCACCACCACCACCACCCCATCCCCCCCCCACCATCTCATCATCATCTTATCATCATCATCCCCAACACACACCACATCATCATCATAAGAATGTAATGGCAGTTATATAACACACACCAATATCTCTGAGAGGTGTAGGTCTATTAAAAGTCACTTCGAATATTCCCTAAACGATAATTACAAAACAAGTGATTCGTAAACATATTTCGAAGCCTAAAACAAGTCCTCTCTCCCTTATATCCTATCTTTACTTTTAAGAAATACTACGATAGTATACCAATCATTCTCCTTTTATTTAGAAACTGTCGCAATAGTATCCTACAAATAACCTTATCTCTTACGACTTGTCACGAGAATACACAATTTTTTATATACCTTTTTGTCTTCCTCCCAGCGCGCGTGTATATAGATCCGCACCTTTTGTTCCGGTATCCGCTGAAGCAGTTTTCTTTATTTCATATTAGATTCAGAAGTGTCAGTGAAGAGAGTAACCAGTATAAGCATAATCAAAAAAGTTATGAACTTAGATATTTTTATGATTTATCTTTATTTATTTATTTATCTATTTCTTTATATATATATTATTAATATATATACATATAATATATATATATGTATATATATAATATATAAATATATACATATACTTATAATGTACGTATAAGTATATAATATATTTAACCATAGGTGTGTCTGAGGCCTAATTTAGATGCCTATTATATTTTTGATTGGTTGGTCCATGATTCAGGATTTTTTTTAAGGATTGCGTGAGTTAGCCATTTACCACAGCGCCGTAGGTTATGTTTTACGGAGTGTCACAGTGTACTTGAAGAAAGAGGTGATTTTAATGTAATTCTTCAAGTGATGAATATTCTCTTTCTCCTTTTTC